AAATACAAAAAATTAGCTGGGCACGGTGGCTCGTGCCTGTAATCCCAGCTACTCAGGAGGCTGAGGCAGGAGAATTCCCTGAACCCAGGAGGCGGAAGTTGCGGTGAGCCAACATCGTGCCATTGCACTCCAGCCTGCATAACAAGAGCGAAACTCTGTCTCAAAAAAGAAAAGAAAAGAAAATAGTGTCCCTCAGTTCAAGAGTATAAAAAAATAGGCAATTGTATTTATGACTTCTCGATTTACTTGATTGCACATGAAATTAAACTCCCTGTGAATCTGCTAACCCCAGGAAGGCTGGTTTTTTCGGGTCAGGAAGGCCTCAGATGTCAAAGCATCAAACATGGAAACTAGGAAACATGTTTAGTATCCAATTTTCAACTCCCTGACTTATTAGATTCTGTCTTTAATTTCCGTCAGCCTCATCATGCCTGTGACTCTCTCAAATCAACAGCTTGGGTTTGTAATTTCATCCAGATACACAGATCTCCTTGGAACAGAAGCAATTTCCAGTGTTTCTTGATGGATTTCCTTTCTTCAGATTTTGACATAAAAATTCCTACTATACCTTCAGCTTGTCAGTAGATTTCTAAAGACTTTTAAAAATATTTTCCCAACAATTTTGTTTTCAAAAGAAAAGTTTTCTCATGTGACCAGCTGAGCCACTGCCAGCAATAGGAGTTCTCAGTCTTCCTCATCATTCCTTTATCCTTTGAGTGCCAAGGCACAAAACATTCAGCATTGACTTTTTAGTCCTAATTCTTATATTTCTACTTGGCTTATTATTCCAGAATATTTTTGTTCATAACGTCATTTGCTGAACCTCAGCCCTGGTTGTGGTCAAGGCAATCTCTGCTGGGGGTGCTCATCCTTGTAGCTGCCCTGTTGTTAATGTCGCAATAACATTGAGCATCATTATACCTCTTATTACAGTCAGCTCTGCTTGCATCTGTCTTCTCTACTAGATCAAATCAATTCACATATTTTGTCTTTGTATCACTGTAATGCCTCATATACTGCTCTCCAAATCATGGTACTCAATAAATGCTTGCTGGATGAAAGTCATTTTCTTACAATAATTCCTTGGACAGAATTAAGAAATTTAGTTCTCTGATTTTTTTCCAGGCTTGGATTTAGGAGAACAGAGCCTGTTTATATAATCTCCAAAAGTGCCAAGCATACCTGCACTTACCAACTCCTGCCTTCATCTCTTACACCTTATCAAGGAAGTTTTATTGTATATCTCCTTGTTGGAGAATTTGGTTTCTCCTGGAATTTCAGTATTTTGTAGGCGCAACGTCAGGAAATCACTAGAATTCTTATCTACATTTGTAGTGTTTTGCACAGTAGAATGTTTTATTGCAATTTGAGTTTTTTCTTTTGGTATTAAATAATATGTCCTGTTATTTTCTCTCTTGCTTTTGCTCTTACTAAGTCTCAGAAGGCCCTACTTCTTAGAATCCCAGAGGGCTATAAATACTCTCAAATATAATTATGTAATTATAATTATAATCTGAATTGACATATGAATATAGATCAGGTTATTTTCAGTTCTTATTTAAGACTCAAAAAGGTTTGGGCAACTAAGTCTCCATTTAGCCCTTTATGAAATGCTTTGGTGCATTTTATTCCAACTATTTAATCTTTCAGGACAAATGCCATTAATTTTACAACTGACTTTCTGCTGCCTCTTTCAATATTTAAAAGATCTACCAGACTATAAGTCAACAAAGTCACATGGCAGCTTCCTTGATCTTTTGGACATAAGTAGGTAAGTCTATTTGCTTTGTCAGTTACTACCTAAAGAAAGAAATATTTTCTACCAAAAATTCAGATGTGAATTCATTTGCATAATGTTTATTGTTATAAAAAGGACTCTGAGTCAAAGTAAAACTTTATTTGCTCTTTTTTTGAAATGAAAAAGCTTCCACTCTGATAGAGTGCACATAAACACACAAATACAGACACATACACACACATATACACCCATGTCATCTTAATATATCAAATTTAAATGCTGAAGGGCCAAGCAACAGAAGTAACTGGAAAGGCAGAAAAACTCATCAGTGGGATTTCTCTTTTTAAATAATAGCTTTCAGAAAAATAAAAATTTAAGAATGATATGGATTATAGTAGAATAAAGAATACATTCTTTTTTAAAAAAAAGCATATGAGAAAACTCATAAACAAAGTAAGAATTAAACCATGCCATAATTTATTAAGTACTTAATAAGTGTCTGTTATGTGCCTAGTATTGTTTAAAGCTGCTTCGGATTGTTTAGAATGCATTGCTATGCCCCCTGCCTCAAAGAAACAATGTAAATAGGGTTATGAGGCATCTACATAGGCAAATTGATTATAAAGTAATACAAGATAATACTATCCTGTTTCCGTACTTGCATGATTTTAAAGTCCCTAAGGACTATAAAGAAAAGGAGCATCTATAAGGACTCTAGTAGGCAGGGAAGGTTTATTGGAGAACATGGGACATGGAAGGATTTGAGTATGAAAAACAGTAGGCAAAACAAACATGTGAAGCAACCTGAAAAAATATATAAACACAGTACTAGTGCTGTGGCCAAGATTAGAGGATGTTTTGTTTATAACCAAATTTCATGTAAGTCACAGAAAAAGAAGCCGATGATTTGGGGAGACATTGAAAATTGTTTGATTCATAAAACTGTGACTGAAATTAAGCAACATCCTCTTGACCTTCCTTGCTTTGTGTTTTCATCAATTGTATCCTTGATTTGCCTATTTTCCTACCCCTTTTCCTTTTTCTTATCGCCTTAATCTTAAGATTAAAAAGAATAAAGCTCATATTCTAAAATTTGATAATTCAAAAACTTGGATAATTAAAATCGGATTATTCCAGAGAAGTCAGAAATGCTAAAACAAGTTTTACTTGAACAAGCAGTGTGGAACTATGCTTTAGTTTCTTGGAAAAAGTATATAGGCAGATCATCTTCTCACAAGGTAAAGAATGGGTGCCATAAAATGTGGTCAGTACAAAGCGGATTTGAAGTTAGAAGACTTGAATTATGGTATTGGATCTACCACTTGAACATATTATTTAATTTTTTGACATTCTAATCAGGTCGAAATCTTGAGCACATGATAAATCACAAGCTATGTTATATTCTAGTGACTCATTTTTTAATTTAAAAAGTTGTTCCTGCACGTAATAAGCTTATAATCTGTGAAGTGTGCCAAATATATAAGGAGGTGTGTTCAATGCAGCATGTTAAATGCAAGGATGAGATGTTCACAGGTTACTCTGCCCAGGAGAGGGCCCTTAGTACACTTGCCTTACCTGTGAGAGGGAGACAGACACTTTTACTGTCTACCAGGATGTTAGAGTCAAATGAGGTAGCTTACATGAAAGCTTCATATTTTCTGCAAGGTCTGATACAAAGGAAAAGGCTGTTGTAACAGGTGTGTGGAGCCACCTAAGCAAATAAACCACAACAGAGATAATGAATAATGAACAAACCCAAGTGTGTCATTTCAAACAACTCCTAACGTTTTATACCCATTAAAGTCACCAACAAGTTGGGAGATGTTGAGAACCAGCAAATATTATATCTGGTTCTCCTGAATCTCTGAAGCTGATTCTGAAAGGAAAAATGATTAGGGCTCTGGGAGAAGGAATAACCTAGACTACAAGATAATGGGGAGTTCCTGAGATAATTTCTTCTTTTTGCCTTTATCACTTTCTGGCTATTTTATTTGCAAGAGATCCAAGGTGCATTCATGTTATTTCCTCTTCTTTCTTCTTGTATCTTAACCTAAGTCTTCCTGCTCCACCCTTATCCCAGGTGATCATCAATCTATTTTGTTTCATAGACTGATATGCCATAACCTTGTGACCCAGGTTTTACGCTTGCATTGCTTCACAGGAGTCCATAAACATACAGAATAAGTGTCGTAGAATCATGAAAGAGAATTCAAAGGCTATAGACTCCTTAGATTTAAAAAGGTAGATTTATTAAAGAACCCTGCTTTGGTCATTCCACAATGTATACACGTATGCAAACTTCCCATCATACCCCATAAATAGATACAATTATTAGTTGCTAACAAAAAGTAAAATTTAAAAGAAAATAATTTTAATGTAAAAATGACAGTTCTTTAACTGCATATTTAAATTTTTTGCTCAATTAAAAAAAAAAAGAATCTCAAGATAAGAACACATGAGTCCAATGCAGGAAAACACTATCCTGATTTAAGGGTCCAGGCTCTTCTAGTGTTTGAGTATCAGACCAAGACATTTGCCTCTCAACTCCTTAGCTGCAAAAGCAGCTGACATGTGGACTGGAGTTACTATGTGTTAAGTGCTGTTTCAAGGACTTTACTTATACGATCTAAGTTAATTCTTATAACAACTCTATATAAGATGTTCTATTTTTATTTATGTCTTACATACAAAGGACAGAAAAAACTGTCACACTGAAGTTCATATCTCTAAGTGGTAAAGGCAAGATTCAGCCTCTAGCATTCTGGTTCCCGAGTCCACGCTCTGAGGCAAAGTGCTTTAATGCCTTTACAGTAATGCTAATTAAATGGATAGTGATATTAGGGAAAGAAATCAACATACTAGATTAGAATATACCTGCAAGGACCAAATGCATACAGTACAAGAAAAATAAGTTAAATTTTCTATTCCATGTTAAAGGTAATGTTCTTCTAAAACTGAGAGAATTTTCTCAGTTTGTCAAATATTTTCAAATTTTCTGTTTTCTCAACTTTGTCAAATAGTTGGAGCCTTTTAACTTTTGGGTATCTATATACTGTAGGTAATCATTTCTCTGTTATTTCAAATTAATGATTTATTGGAAAAATCATTCAAGGGGCTATCTATATCTAGATAGACAGAGAAAGAGATGTTAATGTTATGAATCTGACAATATACTTAAAGTGGAGGCATTGCAAAAATGTTCTTATTACAATGATAGTTATCATTTTGTCTCTTTCAAACATTTTCACAGAAAGTTCTTCAGATGCGAGGTTTCAACAAAACCACTGTGGTTACACAGTTCATCCTGATGGGCTTCTCCAGCCTGGGGGAGCTCCAGCTGCTGCTTTTTGTCATCTTCCTTCTCCTATACGTGACAATCCTGGTGGCCAATGTGACCATCATGGTCGTTATTCGCTTCAGCTGGACTCTCCGCACTCCCATGTATGGTTTTCTATTCATCCTTTCATTTTCTGAGTCCTGCTACACTTTTGTCATCACCCCTCAGCTGCTGGTCCACCTGCTCTCAGACACCAAGACCATCTCCTTCGTGGCCTGTGCCACACAACTCTTCTTCTTCCTTGTCTTTGCCTGCACCAATTGCTTCCTCATCGCTGTGATGGGGTATGATCGCTATGTAGCAATTTGTCACCCTCTGAGGTACACACTCATCATGAACAAAAGGCTGGGGTTGGGGTTGATTTCTCTTGCGGGAGCCACAGGATTCTCTATTGCTTTGGTGGCCACCAACCTCATTTGTGACATGCCTTTTTGTGGCCCCAACAGGGTTAATCACTATTTCTGTGACATGGCACCCGTTATCAAGTTAGCCTGCACCGACACCCATGTGAAAGAGCTGGCTTTATTTAGCCTCAGCATCCTGGTGATTATGGTGCCTTTTCTGTTAATCCTCATATCTTATGGCTTCATAGTTAATACCATCCTGAAGATCCCCTCAGCTGAGGGTAAGAGGAAGGCCTTTGCCACCTGTGTCTCACACCTCACTGTGGTCTTTGTCCACTATGGCTGTGCCTCTATCATCTATCTGCGGCCCAAGTCCAAGTCTGCCTCGGACAAGGATCAGTTGGTGGCAGTGACCTACACAGTGGTAACTCCCTTACTTAATCCTCTTGTTTACACTCTGAGGAACAAGGAGGTAAAAACTGCATTGAAAAGAGTTCTTGGAATGCCTGTGACAACCAAGATGAGCTAACAAAAATAATAATAATTTTAAAAAAATTAACCAGGACAGTCACAGAAGAAATCAAAGCATAAAATTTTCTGACCTTTGAAGCATGTCTCAGACAGTGTTTCCAAGGATTAAGACTACTTGTTGCCTTTTTATTTACTCCTATTCAAAAAAAAAATGCAAGTCAGTCTACAAACTATATTGTCCAATGTCTGGTTAAAAAAAAAAGAATTAGGCCGGGCGCAGTGGCTCAAGCCTGTAATCCCAGCACTTTGGGAGGCTGAGACGGGTGGATCACGAGGTCGAGAGATCGAGACCATCCTGGTCAACATGCTGAAACCCTGTCTCTACTAAAAATACAAAAAATTAGCTGGGCATGGTAGTGCATGCCTGTAATCCCAGCTACTCAGGAGGCTGAGGCAGGAGAATTGCCTGAACCCAGGAGGCGGAGGTTGCGGTGAGCCGAGATCGCGCCATTGCACTCCAGCCTGGGTAACAAGAGCGAAACTCCGTCTCGGGAAAAAAAAAAAAAGAATTTACACTCGACAAAAAGAGAAAAGCGTGAAAGCTTTTCAAGGAATGTCACAACCCAAAACAAATATAAGGACAGGAATTGCTTTTCCGGTTGGAGAGACAGAACAGGGTCTGAAGTGACTGGGAGCATTTTATCCAGGACACAGGCATTCATCTAATAATACATTCATCTGTGTGCCAAGTCCATTCAAAGAGTACAAATTACAATGAACAAATATATAGTTTATGGAGGTTGGGACTGGGTGGGTGGAAAGATGAACACTGAAAAAATATGATAATGCAAGATAATCAGATCAGTTAAAAGAACATAAATAAAGCGTTATGAATTTCAAAGAAACAAGTATTTATTTCATCTGAAAGGGAAAAAGATTTAGAATAAGTGGGATGAAAAGAAGGGAGAGAAAATGTAAACTGGGCCTTAAATGAGGAACAAGATAGTAATACTAAGAAACCGGGTTTTACAGTGATGAAAATGTTAGTCCATAGGATCAGAATTGTTGATAATTCTAGATTTTTATTATGTTTATTGTAAATTAAACTTTATTTCTGTTTGTAGTTTTTGTTTTGTTTTCACATAGCGATATGTTTAAGTCTTTCAGATGATGTAATTTTATTTAATAATAGACTAAAAATACGCAATAATGACATCCTCATGCTTGCTGATCAAAGAGAACACAGTGCTCTGAAGAGGCAAAAATGGCCGTAATCTCTATGATGATCATAGCCTAACACTTATACGAACCTAACATTTTATTGATTACAATAATATAATTTGAATTACAAACACTGATGAGAATTGATTTTAAATCTAAACTCTATCATTTTCAAGCCACATAATTTAAGAAATGTTATTTAAAACTATTGAAACAGATGAGGTTTGAATTTTTTCGTCTGGACAGCTAAGATTTCCTTTTGAGTAAATATGTCAACTATCTCGTTCTCACAGTGCTTGTCTCTAGCTGAGGGAGTCAATTACTGTTAATTAGATTCTTTTTCTGCACAGAGACCCAATCCATGCCAGAATTAAAACCTTCTCATTTGTTAAAATTGTGTTACATCTCACAAATGAAAAGCTTAAATATCATTACTTGTATGACTGTGAAAATTACATATAAAATATTTTTTGAGACAAGGTTTCACTCCTGTCACCCAGGCTGGAGTGCAGTGGTGCGGTCTTGGCTCACTACAGCGTCTGCCTCTGGGATTCAAGCTGTTCTCGAGCTTCAACCTCCTACTCAGGAGGGATTACAGGTGCCCGACACTGTGCCCAGCTAATTTTTGTATTTTTTGTAGAGACGGGTTTTCACCATGTTGGCCAGGCTGGTTTCTGGCCAACTCCTGACCTCAAGAGTCAGCCTCCCAAAGTGCTGGGATTACAGGCATGAGCCACTACCCCGGCCAAAAATAATTCTCTGTAACAAATTAACCAGCATGCTCTATTCCCTCTGTAAAGCACCCTGACTGATTTCCATGGCACGACGAACACTCATCTTTAACAGATTACTTTCTATTGTGCCTGCACATTTCTGCCCTTACAAACTGTAGTGAGGATTGGGGGTTGTGTTCAAAACCACTTCTAACAGTTGTATTTATTATTCTACTTACTCTATTTATAAAATATAATTTTGTACTATGTAATCTAATAAAGTATAACTGCAAAAAGTCATTTGTTTCTAATACAGCCAGGTGAGTGTTTTGGAAGGACTAAATATGAGAAGGAATATAAAATCAAAACTCTAGAAGTCCTGTTCGTTTGGATTTTCAAGTGTCTCTAAGTTGCTGCTCATATTTAAATTCACCAAAATGAATGTAATGCATTGCGAGTGGGCTTATGCTAGAGGTACTCTGAAGAACTCTAGTCAAGTAGTCCAACACTCAAAGTAAAAGCTTTATCCTTACATGAATATACTCATAAATATATGCATTTTAAGTGGTTTGACTTAAAACATTTTAGTGTGTAAGAGTCATCTTTTTTATTTTCAACTCTGTCAGACTTTGGGTTAATCAACCAATTACCTGGCCCTGTGGGTAGATGTGAAGGTTCTGCTGGGTTTTCTGATTCACTATGTACTGCTGTCTTTCCCGCCAGCCACAATATCAGGAGTAGGATTGTCCTACATGACAGGCAGGCAGTGCTGGGTTACTGACTCATCGCAATGGTCGACAGTCACGGTTCTTTGAGGGATATTAATCTATTTCTCCCAGGTAAATTAAAACTCTCTCACACTTGTACTCTCCAGATTTTAACTATGCCCTCCTTTACTTCCCATTCATAATGCTGTATGAACCACCAGCTTTCCTCTGGTACACTGAGTCAAAATTTGTCCTGTTGTGTAAGCATTTCAGACCCCAAGCTGCCATCACTCTTTGCTTTATGAGGATAAGTGTCTACTACACAGGAGCTGCTCCTTTCGAACACTCAGAAGACAATTTCATCATGACATTATGTGTACATTTATCAAAACGTCACACTGTATGCAATAAATATGTACAAGAAAAACGCTGAAAGATCTAGCTACCCTTTTTTCTCTAAAACAATGGGACAAATCACTTAAGGCAAATGTAGTCTTGCAACTTCAGGGCCTCCTCTATGTACCTTTTCAAGTGTGTCTACCTACCTGCCTGTGAAAATTTATTCTGGTGATTCGAAGATGATTTTCTCACTGGAAAAATAGGAAAATTAAAGAAAAAATATTTGAGATTAGAACCAGCAGTATACTCCCTCTAGCAGGGTATTCCCTACTAGCTGTTATCTTTTCTACTGAATTAAAATGTAAGCTTGAAAGGAAAATTACTTGAAGTGTTTTATAAAATGTCACATTTAACCAGAGTGTGAATTTTAAGGAAAACAATTTCTATTTACTGTCTCCATTAAGTAACCTAGGAAAATACCTATTACATGTCTCAAAAGAGAAAGTCGTAGTTTTCTTTCTCTTTGTAATGATGTGTGAATATAAGATTTTTATCGTGGAGAGGAAAAAAAGCTTTCTTGAGAAAAGAGATTATAAGGTTTTTTGTTTTTTTGTAAATTGTTTTTCCAAAATCATACATTAATATAAAGGTTAAATAATTAATATTTTATTATAAATGTATGTTTGTTTTAACAAACATTTTAAAATGTAAATAGTTCTTTTGAGTTTTTATTATCTCAAAACTAAATTTACTTATTATTTTTTAAAAAATTATTCCCTTTCATATTGTAGAGATAGCTAATTAATTTTGCAACTAATCAAGAAACTACAAAAAACAATAATAAAGAAGAAAGTTTTCATACTACAACCCTGATGTCAGATTAAGACTGGCCCTTTTAGAAAGTATTTACTTTTATTTAATAAAAAGCTCCTGATACTACTCAGCCATAAAAAGAAACAAAATCATGGCATTTGCAGTGACCTGGATGGAGTTGGAGACCATTATTCTAAGAGGAGTAACTCAGGAATGGAAAACCAAACATCGTATGTTCTCACTTTCAAGCAGGAGCTAGATGCAAAGGCATAATGATACAGTGGACTCTGGGGACTCATGGGAGAGGTTGGGAGGAGGGTGAGGTATAAAAGACTATGCATTGGGTACAATGTACACCACCCCTGTGATGGGTGTGTTAAAAGGTTAGAAATCACCAGTAAAAAACTTAAAGCACGTAACCAAATACCACCTGTTTCACAAAAACTATTAAAATAAAAATTTTAAACATTTTTTAAAAAAAGTTTCTGGCTTACTACTTACAGGTCTTTGATAGAAACTAAGTGACCAGGCAACACTATCAGATATTGGACGTGTAGATGACAAAACTGGGCATGATCAACAACTTTTAATCATGAACTGGAAGAAGTATATATGTGACTGAGATTTTTTAAAAAATGCTCAAATACACAAGTATATGTGTGTATACTTTACAATCCCAGAAGGCATATTTTTAAAAAACCATACTCCTACTCTTCTTTCAGTCTGCAACTATGGGCATTTAAGGGAGTTTCCCATGAATATATGACTCAGCATGAGAACTTCCACGCATGGTTTCCAGCTAGTTCTGCTCAATATAGCAATACCAAGAAGTGGACTCTGTGGTCACTCAGATGGACCTGAACCACCATCAGGCCGCCCTCCAGGCAGAACATCGGTTTTCTCACTTTATTTGGGTGAAGAGACCTCCAGAGGTGAAGTTTACAGCAAATCCTGGAAAGTTGCTTTGGTCTTGCCGTTTTATGACAGACCTAGGACAAAAGTCAGACCATCGCTATTAAGGATATTTGGGGGAATAAGTAGATAGAAAAACTTCTAAGGACAATCCTTGAATATACAATTGCATCTACATAGATGTTCATCAGTAAAACCCCAAAATACAAATGATCTTAACAATCCAGTAGATGTGGTAACCGACTTTGAGATCATCAGTCATCATTCTTCCCACCCTACCTAGTGTGTATTACATGGGACGATGGACAAAGGGACTAGGTTGGCAGTGGGGAAAGCTACGTATAAACTCAGCAAAATTTATTTAGCCTCGTAAAAGCTCACCTGGCTACTGCTTATTGCTAGATGACAACAATACTTATTAACCCTGATACTTTGTGGGGTTTTTTTTTTTTTTTCAGTTTGTTGCAACTGTGTCTTACATTTGCTGAAATAACCTATTGAGAATTCAGTATGATATTAGCTTCGATAAGACATCTTGGAACAGAAGTATGCCATCTTGTGGAAGAAACATTCCATATGAAATAGTCATTGATATATGGTGGGCTTGTGGGAACCCTAGGAACGAGGTAGAGGGTTCAGCTCTCAACCGTTAACATCTAATTTTACTCAAAATACTTTCTTCCCAACCATTTCTGTCTGTGCTAACCCAATTCTTTATTGGCCTACAGAATTTGGAACCTAAAGAAAGAGCACTTCCTCGAAAACAGTCATTGGATCAATGAGACCATTGGTCATTTCAGGTTTCCCAAGCTATTGAACCACCAAGAAAACAAAGGAGTATGGTGTCACTTAGGGTGGCTTATCTGAGCATCAGAGAGAAATTAGGTTACAATTATATTATAAAGATGTGAAGAAGAGACAGAGTGTTGAAAGTCTTTTTGCAGGTCTTACTGTACTACCCTGCCTAGAGATAAAAGAAGACATGCACAATCTCATGAATTCTCCAAGGAGTCTGACTTGTCTGGAGTAAAGATTTGCATCAAATGCCAATCAATTACTAAGTTAAATGAAGAAAAAAAGACATGGCTCGAGCAAATGAGTGGATTAAGTATAAATAAACAGACAGCAGTTATATCACCATCATCCAGGAGGAACTGAGGATTATAACCCCTAGTGGTATTTCCAACTTTTAAAACTTTCTTCTAAAATTCATCTTATGTAACAGTGTGATGGTGGTACTTAAATCTACCACCTAGTCCGAAGACTATAATTCTGAGATGGTACTGTGACAGAACTGCAGTGCATTCACACCATCGTCCAGAGGTCCTTTCTATGACTAATTTGTGGCTTTAGGTGTTCTCCTGTTAGGATCAGTAAATACATTTCATTTTATTTTATGATGCTTAATCCAAGAGTCATTCTATATTCCCATCATTTTCCTAACCTACGAGTAAACAAGATTACAACTGCCTCCTAACTGGTCACTCTGCTGCCACCTTTATCCCCACTGATAATCCTCTGAATCCATCTGCTCCTCCTCTCTCCCTCCATCTCTCCACTAGAGCCACGGTCTCCTTGGACTCCCTAGAACCCCAGGAATGCTCTAGGCTTCCAGCCTTTAAACCGATTATTCCTTCCCAGTTATGTGTACAACTGCTAACTTGCTCACCTCTTTCATGTCCTTGCTTAAATGTCCCACTCTTCATGAAGCTTTCCTGAATACCCTATTTAAAATCATCATTCCTAAAACCTCTACTCTTTTACCTCACTCCACTTTTTTCTATAGCACATATTACCTCTAATATATTATATAATTTACTAATTTATCCTGTTTATTTTTTTTTCTGTGTACTAGAATGTAAACTCCTTAAAGGGAGGATTCTTTGTTTTGTTCACTAATGTGTTCTTTTACTAGAAAAGTGGCTAACACACAGTAGGTGGTTATTTAATAGTATTTTATTAGATTAAGAATGGACATTTTGGGAACTATGTAAAGGAAGGGATATGTCTGTGTATTCAAACACGTGTACATGCCGTAAAGCCCAGCAGTGGACTCTAATGGAGATACTATTTTCAGTTTGTCAGCATCCCTCTTTCAGGGAATGTTCTTTTCCTGACTCCATGTTAACCAACTGGGGAAACAAATTACAGGAAATTATCATTTTGGCCACAAGATTGGGCTCATGACCCCAGAAGAGCAAACTCTTTTCTTTTACCCAGGATTTAAAAATCTTGAGTAGAGACAGAGAGGGCTGGAAATCATCCAATGATAATTCCCTAAATAGATGACTAACAAGATCCTACAGCTAAGACATTCTGGTGTTGTTCATTTCCTTCACAAGGCCTGGCTACTGAGTTCTTTCTTCACGTACATCAACTGTCCACAAACCTTCCAAAAATTATCGCTTTTACTTACGTAATAGAATTTCAAGAACTGTAAAGAGTCTGAGATTTTGCACTTGTTGGAAGCTATGAAGTTAGTCAATTCAATTTCGTGAATGCCAGCAGAAGACTCCTGGGTCCAAGACAGCGGACAGCTTATTACTCACAGTAATAGTAGTAGCCAGACTATCAAAATTTGTGGTGAGCATTAGTTCCCACAAAGGAATATGAAGCTGGCTGGAACATCTGCACATACAGTGATGCATATTACAGGAGAGGAACCCAGAGCTTAGTGACGAAGGTTGCCTTAATGTTCCCTTCGGCTTGACTGAACTTTAGACAGGCTTTTTCCTGACTGCAGGCATCTGCCCTCCTTTTTCTTAAAATGTTTACTTTAGAAAATTTGTAAATTATTTATCTGTCCCTGTGTGGTATAAATCTCTTTAAAAGCCTTTTGTCAAATTTTAGAATCCAGAAATATTTTTCTTAAGGACCCGAGAGCCATCTCTTTGAAATGCAATCATCAAAAAACACAGTCCCCTTATCTCACAGTTTCTATGGCAGAGTAGCAGCCTAACTTCAATGAGTGCCTCACTAAAGTCACAAAACTACTACCTCCTGTCATAAAGACAGAAGAGGCGTGTTTTTCCTTTCGATGAAGCTGATTAGTAATCATAGATGGTCTACTGTCCTCCAGTACTTCTCTACTAGCTTACCTCAACCTTTAAAAACCTTCTTGCTTCTGGTTTTCATGAAGTTGCTTAGTTCATACTAAGTTTTGGTCTTGCTTCTCTATTGAAGTGCACTTAAATAGAATTTTGCTTGATGATTTAACATTGTCTAGCACAAATTAGCTTTGACATAGGGGAGTTGAAACTTTTATAAGAACAGTAAGTACACCTCAGAAAAAAAGGCAGTATCTAATATCTGCCCCTTCTATGGCTGTCACCACAGAAACACTAAGGAAAATCTATTCTGAAACAAAGGTGCCAGAGTTCTCCCACAGTGAGCAGAACAGTGAGACACATAGATGATTATCTCCCAACAGTTAATTCAGTACCTTGAAACTAGGGGAAGTTGACATCCTTTATGACGTATTTTTCTATTACAGAGATCCCTCAGTATCCATTGGGATTGGTTCCAGAACCTCTTACAGATACCGAAATTCATGGATTCTCAAGTACCTAATGCAAAATGTATAGTTGCATAAAAGCTATGTACAATTTTGGACTTAGAGTCACCATTTTCTACCAAATATAAAGTGAATGAAATAATTTGTATACTTAGATTATTAAGAAAACAAATTATTCAGTTAGACAGGCAGGATTCTTATCCTAACCCTGCCTTTTTTTTTTTTTCATTGCAATTTCTTTTATCCTTTCAGAATCTTCCTCTATTCTGTAATGGGACAAAGTACCAATCTGAGACGGCCACTGAAAGAATTAA